ACCTATGAGTTCACCCAACTTGATTATGCTCAAGTGTGTGTGGAGATTGATTCCGCCAAGCCTACCCTACATTGGTTTACTTTCAAGATTGAGAGCGAATCAATCTCAATTGATGTCGAGTATGAATGGAAGCCAAAGCGGTGTCTAAAGTGTTGTGAGTTTAGCCATGTTTACCACTTGCCAAAGGTGACTCCTGAGCCTCCTTAAGCCTCTGAAGAGCCCTTTCGAGTGTTCCTCATCTGAGCCCTTCCAAGGCCTCAGGGATTCCCTTCATGAGCAGCAAGCTCCTAGACAACCTTCGGACAAAGACCGCCTCAACTTTGGACCTGAAGGATGTTTGTGATCCGATAATTAAAGCTCGTGACATTTTGTCCCTAAAAGCCCTAAAAAGGGTGATGAGGGATCTTTCGAGCAATGATTTTTCTGTGGACGACTGAAAACGGTTGTTAGCCTTGGTTCTTGTTGGCCTCTGCAACACGAGTGTTGACACAACTTTATCAAACACTAGAATGGTTGTTTCGCTTCCTCTATCAAAGATGTTGAGGTGGACCTCCACTCTGACATGGAATGACCTATGCTCCTAAGACTATAAATGAGCCGAGTTGAGTTGAGTTGAGTTTCACCTTAAACGAGCTTCACTTGGTGTATTATTAGTCGAGTTTAAGTCAAGTCATGAGTCGGTCGAGTCAAAAAATTTCAGCTCGTGACTTGACTCATTTATAGTCGAGCCGGATTGTAACTCGACTCAAGCTTGTTTGACTCGACTCGAGTGAGCTCGACTAACTCAACTCAATTAAGCTCGATTACATCTCGAAATTGCCCCTTTTTTTAAACCTGCAGTTCTTTTTTACACAAATCAAATCCAATTCCTTGTAAATTTGCATCCAAATCAATAGTAGGTATTACATAACAAATTATACAATAAAAAACAAAAAGAAACAAAAATTTCCATCAAAATACAAAAATCATCCAAAACAAACATAATGAATCATCAAAATACACATCACACAACTCAAACTTCAAGAAGTTGAATCTCCAATGGTTTCTTCTGTATCTGAAATTTAAAACAGAAAAAAAAGTTAATATTAATGTTCGAATGAAATAAGAGTAATTGTAGAATAAATACATAAATATATTATAATAAATGTACCGTGATTCTTTTTTTTCACTCCATTTAAAATGCGACACCGATCGGCTCCACATAATAGCATTTCCACTATTTAGGGAGACAACGAAGATCGATACGTGTCAATAACTCTACTACCGGCACTGAAAGTAGCCTCTAAAGCCACCGTAGTGATTGGAATGTCTAGTATATCACGAGTCATCCTAGATAAGATAGAGTATTTCAAAGCATTCGCCTTCCACCAATCCAAAGCATCGAAATCTTCAAAATCATTTTGACACTTAGAACATCCCTCACTTAGATAAATATCCAACTCAGATTTATTTGGCTCAATAGTTTCAACCTCATCTAGAAAATCATCAAATTCTCATTTTGAGGCTTCTCCTCCCGCAGACCCCTCAGGAATTACTCCAACTCCAACCATTTCACTTGTACCTCTGCAGGCTGCACCAGATGAGTGACTATCAGTAACATATTCTTTATATATCTTATACAAGGCATCCTAGACAGTTGTAACATTTGCCTGTGCATCAAATTCAGAATACATCTTAGGGAAAGAATACTCAATCAACCTCATTTTGTACTTAAGGTCCAATATAGTTGCCACAGCCATCAACAAATTACATTCCCTCCAGTACTTATCAAACTTCTCTTTCATTTTTCTCACCATGTGTCCAAGGAAATCATCTTCACTTTCACTATTTTTATCCAACAAGATTTTGGTTATACATACTTGCTTTGGAAACACATTTGATGTTAGATAATTACTCCCGGAGATGATATTGATCATCGTACTAAAAATCTTTAGTATCTCACAAACTTTCTCTACTTTCACCCAATCTTCATCATCTAGAGAATGTTTGTAACCCATATACCTTATTGGAATCTTGGAAACACTTCTTTAAACTTAATTGTAGTTGGCAACATGTCATAGGTTAAATTCCACCTTGTTTTACAATCAAGGATAAGTTTTCGACACAACAAATGTAATTGTTGCACAATCTTTGCAAAAACCTTTAGCCTACCCTCCGAACCATTGATGTATATCACACTTTCATTGATCTTGTAGATGATATGGCTAATCTGCCAAAGCCCATCTTGCACTAGCAAGTTTAAGATGTGTGCTCAATATCTGACATGAAACATTTTACCCCCACAACTCAGCTGCCTTGTCATTGTAAAATTTTCATTCAACACCCTAATTGCATCATCATGACTACTAGATTTGTCCACTGATATTGTCTAGACCTTGTCTTCAATTTCCCATTCTGTCAAGCATCAGTAAATTGCATCTGCATAATATGCACACCACCTTTTACTACCTTTACATCATTCTTAACTTTGCTCATTTACCACCTTCTGGAGGAGGTAAATGAGTAAAGTTAAGAACATATTTGTTCGACCTCCAATTATCATCTATCTAGTGCCCTATCAAAACCATATACTCCATCTTTTGGTTGTCAACATTCCATAAATTTGTGGTCAAATTAATCCTCCTCATACTTTCCAGCAATGTCTTCAACTTTTGTTTCTCCATTTCATATACCTTCGCACAATCATTTTTACATGTATTGTGCGAAACTCTAGACCATTCTGGAATTCCATATTTCAGCAAGTTGTTCAAACCCTCCTCCTCAACAATGGTAAATGGGTGCTCATGCATAAGCAGCAATTGTGCAACTAATTCCCTCATCACCATCACGTCAAACTTGCCAATAAGAGCAGGAAGGACAAATGCTCTAGCACTAGAATCAGCTGGGGGAAAATTAATATGTTGTTGCCTAATGGAAGCTGCTCGTTTCACATGCCTTTGTAAATGTCTTGTAAACTGTGCAATGCTTCCAGATGCAGTCATTTTAAGCTTATATTTACAATGGATACACTTTGCCTTCTTCACACCATTAGGAAGGACCACTTCTATAAATTTAGTACATATGGTAGATGTCTTAGCATTCTTTCTCCTTTTCAAGAGATTATTATTTGCACCTTGATTTGGTAACACTTGGTTGCGTATTCGTTGTTTCATCAACCCAGTTATGGGGAGTTAAATCATCCAATGTCGGCTGGCTAGTGGATGTTGAGGCCATACCTGTAAAAAGCAAATAAAACTTGTAAGCAATCCTGCCTAACACAATTTATTAACCACAAATTCATACTATAAAACTTAGGATACATGTGAAAAACTTAAAATGTCAACTCAATTGCAAATAATATCAACATAATATTAAAGTTTTCCCACCAAGCAAACAACAGCCAAAACAAGTGGAATAAAGCTAATTATGCATATTATTACTATTATGCAGCAACCAAAACAAGTGCAACCAATTTGGAATAAAGCTAATCCTTAAGCAGAACCTATAATCACTAGTAAGCTTCTTCGCCATTTGTCTAAAAGATTATGAAATAAAAAAAAGGACGTGTCCTGTTGCTGCAAGGATTCTTATCTGTACAGTTTCAATCGCTTAATGAAAGTTTTAAAATTCCATCATATTTATACATACTAAACAAAGTATTCAGAAACTCTTGGAGAATAACAGAAATCTTAATACGACTAGTTAAGATTTTAATAAACTTAGAACTTTGTAATCTTCTTGACAGAGAAAATGGGGGTGGGGGTATTAGTCAAGAACATATATTTGAAATGAAAAGAGGAAAACCATTTGAACCTGTTTGCAAACACAACTATAAAAATGAATAAGAGAAAAGTGCATACTTTAATTGGATGGGTTCGGGAAGGGAGCACAGTATTCCGAGCCAATAAAGGGCATCAAAGCCCTCAAAACCTAAAATTATGTTCCTAATTGAAGTTAGAAATAAGATATTTGAAACAACTGTGCTGCCGAGTAAAGAATGAATTGATGAGATTCCAAGAATGCCACCCACTTCATTGCAAATCCTTTCATTTCTATAAATTTACTTTTCAATCAGAGCAAAGACAATTAACATTATGAGCAAGGAATAACACCACATGAATTATGTCATTAATAAGAAACAATTTTTTCAACTCACACCAGAAATTTTTTGACCGCGATCATAATCTTAGGAAAAACATAGACCATAATCTTAGGAAAAACATAAACAAGAGGAACTGCAGTGTTTAATTCTAATATGATCAACATTACACCATGCATTGCCATTCAAATTAGTCACAAAAAATTTGGATTTTGCGAAGGAACAAACCTGTTGCAATTGAAAAATGGCAGTTAACAAACACCTCACAACTTCTCTGCAAAATCCGGTGCTGTCGACAATTGAGAAGGCGACAGGAAGCGACGGTCATTGGCAATTTGCTGAGTATGTTTAGGGTCGATAGTCAAATGGGTGTTTAGTTGATTTGAAAATAAGGTTTACGAATTTGGGGAAATTGGCTTTTGCGATTTGGGTTAATTGGGATTTGGGGGTTAATTTACGATTTTTTAAACCTTTTGCATGTCAAATTATAAAACAGACCTATTACTTGTAACTATCGCATAAAAACCTAAACGAGTCACTATTGACTTGCGAGCCTAGTCGAGCCGAACCGGGGTAAAATCGCACTCGGCTCAACATCTATTACAATTATTACTCGAGCCGAGTTCTAATATTTAACAAGTCGAGCTGAACCAACTCGCGAGCGGCTTGGTTGGGCTCAGCTCAGCTGAGCTGATAGTCCTATCAACACCATATAGAAAAGAAGTAAAAAACAAAAAAAAAAAAAAAAATGAAATGATTATGATTCCGACGGCACCTTAATGTCAATCTAAAAAGTATTACACAAAATAAATAGCACCAAGAATTGTAGAAATATAGGCACAATTCTCAAATAAAGGCCACATATATGAATTGAATAACTAATAAAAAGGTGGAAGGAGTAGGAGATAGTGGGAAATATATATCAGTGGCAGTAGTAGTCTTGGATTGCTTGCCTAACTAAACTAATCTTCAAAGTGCAATTCATCTCTCTAGTCCTTTTCTTAATACTTATCATCATCAAATTCACCTTTCCACTCAACTTAATGTAGCTGTTAAATGTCAAAATCCCAGAATTGGTGCCACCACCCAAATTTTGATTACTCCCTAAACCTTCAAACTTAGGTTCTATCAACACAACAACCAACTTTGTGTATCTCAACTCAATGCACCCGCTTGAAATCTCCTCTTCTCCAATAGTTTTACCTCCATAAGATAAGATTGCCTCACTTTTATCGTATTTGAATTCCCCCAAATTTTGATTCTTAAGCACAATTTCTTCCCTTATCGTCAAGTTGAAGCGAGTTAGTGTCCCGGACAAATTACTGTAATTGTCGATGGTTACTGCACGTAACTTAATGTCAGGAACTTTGAAGCGAAATACAGTTAGCGCAAGTACACCTAATATTACAGCTAAAAGTACGATAGCAGCCATTATAATCCCAAAAAACTCGAGTCTTCGTAGCCTAGGAAGCACCTTCGATGAGAAAATTTGCGCCAACCCCTCGTCTTTCGTTCTGTAAATTGGCTTTTCCATTGTGGCTATTCTGTGATCTGAGAGGCTATGGAGGAGTTGACGAATTGCTTTTTGATTTTTGTTCTGTTAGATCATAGAAGTAGTCTGTAGATGAGGAGATTTGTAGAGATCAATGAGTTATGCATGAAGTAATAAATTATAATAAAAGGTTATAGTAGGAAAAAGTAGAGCGGTGGCATAACTTGGTTGAACATTATCAAGGACAGTGACGACTGAGTTGTTGTATTTGTATGTTTGACTAAAGATAACCAGCAGGTAACAGCCGTAACAACTTCTCTGAAACTTCCGTTGGTGACGCTTCCTAGTTGAATATTTTTAAGTCTTAACAAACAAAATATAAATAAAAATAAATTGGAAGGTTTCATTTTATCAGATGACTTAAAAGACAAAAAATTTTCATCAAATGGAGATGCGGGGTATCGATCCCGGTACCTCTCGCATGCTAAGCGAGCGCTCTACCATTTGAGCTACATCCCCCTTGATGTTGGGGTTGTCTTACTTTACACTAATTATTTTTAACTAAGTAAATATCATCACACCCACTTAATACTAAGAATTAAGATATAAACTGTTATATTAATATAAAAAATAATTTCGTAATATTATCAAGATACCACATCTTTTAAGACAAGAAATAAGAAATTTAGGATTGAGTTGAATATATAATCTTAAATATCTTCACTTAATATAAAGGAAAAATAAAATTTCGAACAATAAGTCCTTAAAACTTTTGGTGGTTTTGTTTAAACTTTCATTAAGCATTCACCGATATGCTGCCAGTTATAATTCTAATAACTCCACAAACTATCCAAGTGAAATCACTTTATAATTCTTATAATAATTCTATTTTAATATTATAATAGAATTATTATTAGTAAAATAGTCATGATGTAATTATAATGGTATAAAGATAACATTACTCATATCACTTTATATTCTTGTATTATTATATAAAAGTGATTGGAATAGCATAATCAAACTGGTACTGGTAGAGAGATACAAGTTTAATTAAAAGAAATCTTTGAAGGTAGGGAGCTTGATCTCGCCCTTGCTGGAGAGAGGAATGGTGAAGTCACCAATGACAGGAAGATCAATCGTAAGACCCAACTCCAACTCATAATCAATGTCCCAATCCTTTGCAACGTCCCTTACCAAACTCACTACTACACTATGTGGCACCTTCAACGGTACGTTTAGCATTGACTTCTCATTTGCTTTCAGTGAGCCAGGGTCTGGCATTTTCCCGGATAAAATCACTCTGATCCACATGCAATATATACAAAGTCATTTGCATTAATAATCATATTATTAAAAAAAATATTTAAAAGCATGAGATTAAAATAAGATGCATCTTTAATGTTATCGACATATTCACTTGGAAGATCCGTCATATATACATAGGATTGGAGCCATGCTCTGCAAATCCTTGGAACGTGGATGAACTATTCCTTGTTAGGAAGAGAGATATGAACAACAAGAGAAAGTAGCAAAAGAGAATTAGGATTTGTCATTGGTTCTTCTAGAATTTCTTCTATATATCATATAAATGATCAAATTAGGTAGATATATAATGCATACATGTTAGGTGCAAAAATCAATTAAAAATATTAATCATAGGTATTAATTACAGTGCTCATTTAGGGTAATGAGTTGTAACAATGAATGGAACAGAAAAGAAATGGAAGGACAAAATTGTGGTTGTTGATTCATCAGGTCACAATACATATTGTTTTTTCCTGATTGATCATGCATATTCATTGGTTGATGTGTAATGCTGTTGAGGAAGATCGTAACAATCAAGAGAAAATCCTAAATTACAAGAAAACCAAAATTAGAAAATTAACTTGAAAATTGGAAAAAGCAATGGTTCAATTCAAATCAGAAGATGAAAATCGCTGATGAATATGAAAATGAAGAAATAAAAGGAAAATAATGAGAACTGATCAAACCTGCCGGCGCTTTTGAGGATATAAGAGATCTCACAAATGGGAAGTGCATGGCTGTAGGGATTGTCCACAGAGACCTTTGCATTATATTCCACACCATCACGGCTCACGGTGTTCAGACCAACCCCTGTAAGGCTGGCCTCTGGCTTCTTCATGTTTGTCACCTTCTCTGACACATAGTTCTTTGCCTTCTCCAATAAATTCGACATTTTACAAAGACAGAAAAACACCAAGACTGCACAGATTTAGATTTGATTAATCAATCATAAACTTTACATATATAGATATATAGGATGTGCCTTTGGGTGTTTGTGACACGTGTAAATGTTGTTTGGTAATAGTGAGGATGTGATTTTTTCGGTGTAATTAGGAGATCTGTATTCTCTTCTTAATTAAAGAGTATTTAAGATTTTCTCTTATGAGAATTTGAGTAGTGATTAAGAACGTACTGAATAATTCATTTACCTATGCCATCTTAACTTAAGATTTCTTTTCTTATTATTTGTTCTTCGTTGCCACTAGAATTAATTGTTATGAACCGGGAAAAGACAAGGATGGAAAAGTTTTGATTTAGCTGGTTATAGAGAACAATAAATACCTTGTCTATAATAGATAAAATTGTTTGTATTCTCTTTCTCAATTAATAGATATAATCCTCCATTGATGCTAATCTTCAGGTGTCATTTTCTCTATTTTTAGCTTCCACATTTCTGTTAGCCCAACTCACCTTGTAAATTTAACCAAGAATACTTTCACATAGTAGTATATGAATATTCAAACGGCATAACCAAGTGATAATTTGTGACATATACAAGTTAAAGATTTCTTTTTCATATGATCCCATTCTATATTATAGGTGTTTTCTTCTTCTACCTCAATTAGGGTTCCATGGCAACCGCTGTCAAAGCAAGCCCGTTGTTATTGTTAAAACAGAGACAAAACTTTCATGACAATTTTTGTTTCGTCAAATCTGCCACTAAACTTGGCACAAGTTCGAAATTTCCTAGTTTTAAAGTGAAAACCTGAATGAACTCGAATTCAAGTTCAACTAGCAAAATCGTCGCGTTGCCTTTTAACTTTGAAGCTCAATGCATCAGATCAGGTTCATCAAAAGAAAATTCTCTCAAAATCTATATATGTGCTTAACAATATTGTTAAAACGTTAAAGTGCTTGAAAGTTCCTGCTATAACGATCATGCAGTCTTTGTTGTCGTTGATGATGATGATGCACGGTCGTGATAGAGCATTTGCTTATTCTGGGGGAGTAATAGGTGTATAAAAAACTTGTAATAAATATAATTTATTTGAATAATATTATACTTTACACTTAAAACTTTTTATAGACAATAATTTGTTGCTTATTGGGTATCTTTTTGCTCCCACTAAAAAGGGAAATATATGCACGATGCATTTTTTATATGGTAGGCAAGATAATCTGGCTTACATTGTGAGATACTGTCAAGTATCCTATCATTTATTATTAATTAGTAGTAAAAATATTTTGTAATAGGTTTCTACTTTAAAATAAAAATAAAATAAGAAAATGTGTAGACCGATAAACTTGTCTTTCTTATAAATATTTTAAACTGTTCCTTTGCACAAATCAAGTAATATAAGAGATAAAATTATATAGATTTTTTTTTTTTTTTTTTATGAGTAAGGTGTCTAGGTCAGTTTACGCGTACTTCAAGTAATCTCTTGAGACATGGGGATTATTGACTAAGTGGTTCGAAAGAAACTCTTGAATGTATTACTCAAGAGATTCTGAATTCGAATCTCTCCTCAGATACCCATAAGGGTAGATAATCTATGTTAAGAAAGGGAATTTACACAAGTTTATTATAGTAAATAACCTGATATTGGTCCATGGACATAAAAGTTCACATTAAATTACATGATAAGAAAGAAAGTAATTAACATGTCAAGAACAAATGGCTTCTGCTTGATTGGTTCTTGAATAATTAATGCACATACTAGTAAATGAGTGAGATTAATTATTAATTAAAACCTAGCAAGGAATTGCATTTGCTTGAGAAGAGGAGTTAGGGTTTCCATCAATTTCTCACACGGGTGGTTGTGAATTCCCTCATAAGTTGTAACCACAATGCTCGTGTCTTTTGATAGCCTTTGCACCTGCTTCTTTACGTTGCATGTGTGATGTGTGCAGCGGTAGTAGCTCCTTTTGTACATTTTTATGAACAAAACAAAACAGTAAATATACATCAGTAATATATTATGTAAATATAAGGTGCAAAGAAGTGCTTTGAGATTAACGTGAAGGAGAGAATAGATATTAGATTGAACTTGTTGTTGATAAACTATTCATCCCGTAGAATTTTGGTTCAACAATAAAACCAGATACTCAAAGAGGATGGTGAGGGGTTTTTCTGCAATCAATTTCTCTTTATCCAAATTAATGGACATAATGAGGAACATAGTTCCCATAATTTGATAATATATATCCTTAGCAAATGCAGATCGATTTTTATATTAAAGAAATTATGAAAATCAAGAAAACACAAACAGCTAACCACGTTACATTTATATATCTCTCCTGCGTGAAAAATAAAAATATATTTTGGTTAATTTCATGCATGAATATGTATATGTGTGGCATTTTTACTGTAAAAACCTGAAAAGTATAGGAAATGAAGTGTAAAGTCTAAAAGGAATGAGAATTATATTGAACATGGTTGTCACAAAAGATGCGAATGCGATGCGAGCAATATATAAACGATCCATGTTTTATTTAACAAGAAGAAGTAGTATAATCATAATATGAAGAGGTGTGGTCACCTGGGATATGTGCTGTTCTTGACGGCTTTCTGTCCATATTTTCTCCACCTGTAACCATCATCAAGGATATCATCAGCACTCCTAGTCTGAAACGCAAACCTAGGCCGGCTCGCTTTTTTCACTCTGCTGCTTTTCCTCTTATTCTCCTTATATCCCTTTTCTTCTTCACCTCGATTCTCAGCCATCACACAACTACTTTCCATCATCGGACCATTCTCACCCCCCACCCCTGATTGACCGGAAAAAAGGGTAGCCCAGTCAATGTCCGGAAGTATCTGAGATTCAAGAGGAGGGGGCAGTGATGAAGATGGAAGTGAAGGTGTGAAAAGATAGGGAGGGTTAGGGTTAAGCGGTGGCAATAGTGGTGGTGTTGATGGGATTGAGAACTCATGGCCTTCCATTGTGGGGCTCCACAAACAATATTGAAAGAGGAACCGAGAATGTTGGATAATGGAAGTTTTAAAAGTGTGAATAAAAGTGTGTTGGAAGGTAGAAGAGGTTGGGCAGACCCACAAAACAGATACGTAAAGAGAGATAGAGACAGGTTGATGGGAGTTTGAAAGGAGATTAATTAGGAGACTCTTTCATATTTCCCTCTCTTACACCCAATGTAAATCCAACTAAATCTCACCTACTTCTGTTCAACTGCCCTTACAATGGAGACGTGCCCAACATGCATCGTTATCACCAATGTGGTTCATGGTAATGCATGGATCTTTGTCGATCACCTCACATTCAATTTCAATAGCAATGTAACAGTACACACTTGCTTAAAGCACTATAATTTTAATCTATATGATACTGTTCACCAAACAATACGCCACAGACTAAGTTTTGACCAGTCCCCGGTCTTTTATTATATTTTATATTATCAAATTGTTTCTTTAAAATGATGTCGTATTGTGTTCTCGTCATCAGAAGATAGGTGACCGTAATCAGATAATGACGGATTGAAAATTACTAACGCACAGAATGGGAAAAAAACTTTGTTAATAGAAGAAAGTCGTTCAGGTACTTGGATTCAACTTTTACGGTGTCTCGTTTCTAACGAATATTAGACTATTAGTACGAGCATATGAAAAAAAGTTCCAATAAATTTTATAATAATCAATATAACATCAGATTGTATAAAAAAAAAATTATATAAATGAAAGGATTTAAGTTTTGGAAGGCGTATATTGATGTATGATAAGTAAAATCTGAGATAAAAACTGCCCACCTATGGGATTTCATACCCAAACCAAGTATACTCTTCACTCTTCAGAGCTCGACAACAGAGTAAACAGATATGAGATAACTAGTAATCTCGATATTTAAAATCTATAAAAAATTACGCCATAAATCAGCAACAAATAACGTGTAATCTCGGTCATCAAAACCCCAACCTAAAAAACCCATAGACCAGTGTATTTCCTCTGTTTGGTTTTGAGGCCTGCCCGGGAGATGTTCCAATTCATATTCAACCCCGACAGCCTGAAAACATGCGTTGTTTAGATGCCTGGGAAACTCCTGAGTAGGTCACCTACAAGGGACTTCCTAGAATTGTTTTCTTCTTCTATTGGTAAAGTAACATCTCAAGGAAGCACAGTAAAAATGACTAAATCATCCATCAAATTGAGAAAAAAAGGCACACAAACACAATCTGTAGTTGCAACAGCAAACCAAATTACTTAGTACAGTAGGTACTTTGTGAGCAATCTAGCAATTAAATATACATCCGCAGAACTAAACTATGATATAAAGCCATCCAAATACAGAATTTAGTCACGACCAAAATTTATAAGTTTCAAGATAGGAAAGCAGATGAGAGGAGAAATATAAATAGAACAACAGATTCCAAATATCCCATAGTCCAAAAAAAAAAAAAAAAAGAGTTCATCTAGACAGCATAATGGTGATCTGCAGCTCATACTCTCCCTGTCGCCTTGAACTTTTCATCTAGACTGACAAAACTCATTCTGGCAAACTGCAAGAATTCAATGCAAAACAGATATTGGTAACCAGTTCCAGAAATATATGTGTGGCTCAGAAGTTAACTAAGATACCCTCATCAGCTGATGATCATCTTGTTAAGGTATTCAGCTTGCTCAGGGAAATACTCCAAAAGCTCATCCTTGGTCACCCAAAGATAATCCTCAGACTTCCCAATATTAAACTTGTTGGTTGCAATCACTTGAGACTTAAAGATGAATCGCTGGCAAAGGGAAGGAATTAAGGAAGTGACGATTAAATACAAACAACTAAAAGTCAGATTCAGAATAAAGAGAAATTGAGATGCCATTTAAAAGTTTATCACATAGATATTTGTGAAAAACGATATTACATTGACAGCATGTTACTATAATTGATATATATTTTTATCACCAAAAGCAAAAGGAATGCCATGCATACATATTGATAAAGCCCTTCTTAGATGAATATATATTTTCCAGAAAATATACCTTAAAAGATGGATAATCTTGCCCTTTGTCAGTAGGCTGTACAACCATATGACCAATAGGAGCATTTCCAACAAAATAAGTGCGGGAAAGGTCTCCGAGGACAGATTCTAAAGCAAGCTCTGCACACTGCAAACATTTGAAAACATTTTAATGAGAAGGAGAAGAAGAAGACGAAGAAAGAGAAGCAGGAGGGGTAGGAGAAAAATCACCTTGCGCAATGTCTCCTCAGATTCGTATACTTTTTCTGGAAAATGCCAAAAAGGCTTACCATCGGGAGCTCCATAAGCATTGCCATAGAGAAGAAGATACAGTCTTCTGTCAAGTGCTCTCTGTAATGATCTTCGGAAACAAATAATAAATTTCAGGAACAAAATCATAAAAGAAGGTCAACTGTGAAGTAATTCCCACATAATGTAATTATGTAGTGACTAGATCAAGTTACAACATAAATGGCATCAGAAGCTTCAGTACAGACTATAAGAATTGCAAGAATTTTCATCAATCTCATGAAAACATGAATATTAACATGGCCACCACAATAAGAGACGAACTATGATGGAGTCATATCAAGCAATGGGTTAATAAAGCACCCCAAAGAAATGAACTCCAGTTGAAAGCCACTGATGACATTGCTTTCTTACCTAAACAGTAAGCCAAGTGTTTGTGGCACAACATAGCAGTTGTATCATCAATAAGAGTTCAAGTTAGTCAATTAGCTATCTTACATAGGAGCTTTATGCGCACAATCCCTGAATCGGTTAATGATATCTTTCTCTGCATATTATTTCATGTACTTCATTAGCTGAAAATCAATTAACCATACCCCAAAGTTCATTTTATCAACTAATTCCTAATCAATCTTCTCCATATAGTTCATCTAGTTATAGCTGTCAATACTTTGTGGAAACACATATGTCGCCTTAGACAGTGTCAATGCACTTCCCCCAGTCTCCAAAAAATGCCCAGTCAATTTGACATAAAAATTGTCCTCAGATAATACAAGATGATTAATGAGCATTCAATTAGTAGCAGCAACAAGTCACAACATATCTAAATTGAACCCAAGGAGGACAAGGAAACCCATGTACTGCAATATGGTTAAATAGCCATAAAAATCTTCATCTTACTTTCTATCATTCGTTTTGTCAGCTTCAGTAATCCGAGGAGCTGGAACATAGTCCATTTGGTAGTCACCTTTTCCCCTGTTATAAAGTATCAGACAAGAATTGTTAAAAACAATCAAAACTTCACCTGCACTAGTCCCCACATGCATATGTATCTGCAAAGTGTGTGACAGAGAGAAGGAGAAAAAAAATTGCATAAATGATCCAATAAATCATGATTTAGAGATACACTAAACATATATGCCAAAATTAAAAAATGAAGGCTATTTGAAGCTAAGAGTCAGCCCTTATTGATACATAATATGAACATAGGGTTTCATACTCTAATTTATATTCACCCCTAATTACATTTGCAAGCAGCAGAAAGTGAACTCAAATAAGTTAAAGCAACAAAATCATGCTTTTTATTTGACTTAAGACTAAACAAATCATATTATCCAGAGCCTAGACATCAAATTCATCTTTAATATCCATTAACTCTACATCACAGTCATATTAGCATTAAGATATCAGACGTAAAATTCGAATGAAATTATTTGCTTAGGGGTAAAATGAATTTTCAATCAAAATATGCTTAGACCAAGGATAGCATCTCCTTTTTATAAGTCAGTTAGCTGATTCACCAAGGCATGTTTATTGTGAGACTCCATGGTCTATACAACCTTTATACAAAAGTTCAAAAGAATAGACCTAGTAGAACAATTAAAAGATGCTTTATGTCAACTTGGTTTACTACTGAGCATTCACAATAAAGTTGAGTTTAAGACAAGACATATGCCAACATGTAAGTAGTAGCTCAAGAAAATAAACTCAATAAGATTAAGTACAGCAGAGAAACATACTTACCTAGAATCAGACTTATCTAAGAATTCATCCGGATATCTGCGGCGAAATTGATTTCTCCACCGAAACCTAATACCCATAACCCCAAATCAAAAGCAGGTGAAAGAAAGAAATATGTTTAAGAGCAACCAAAATAAAATAATAAAAGAAAACCCTTCAAGTATTTTAATCAATTACCATCCAGAGGAAAAATATTGAGCCATATGTTTCTTGCCATTTCAACCTCCAATAGCTATGAAACTATAACATAAAATTTAGTTTTCCAGGTTCCAAATGACAAGTTATCTAATCTACTTAACTACTACCACAGATTGAAATTGAACCAAACTTTAGTTAGAAATCACCACAACTGAAACTCAACATCCAGTAAGTTATAGGAGCACGTTTTATCAGCACCCACAAACAGAATTCGAAAAGAAAAGGCAATGAAAGAAGAAACTCACGAGAACTCTTCGAATGCGTAAACTACGGGGTCTATTTTTGGAATAACAACAGGTAATCTCTCAAACAGCACGGATGCAACGATTTTCTCAGAGTTCGTGCTAAACCCTCTCTTTGCCACGAGAGGACGAACCAGCGATGTTAACGATCGCTGCATTATGGATCTACGGATAGAAACTCATAAATTTTAAAGAAAATAAATAGAAAAATGCTTGTTGGAGAGTGAGAAATTGTACTTTTTATTTATACTTTGAATAAAATTTCATTAGCTTCCAAAAGCCCTACTTAAACCCTAGAGTAGTGAAGACGAACAGAGTGAAAAGTTTACCAGGAATGAGGATACCAGAGACTGGGATAGACGGTTGTTGAGTTAAGGGTTTCCCCTTGGGTCTGTTTTTAATTTGTTCTAAAGCAACCGGACTTTTCGGTTTACTAGTGTTAAATGTCCAAAAAGCCGCTGAAACAACCTTGTGCTTAATATGTGCATCAGTTCTTATAAATCATAATTTTTTGATTTTACAGTTATAATCCTGCGTTATTGTAATTGTTGTATTTAATTGAGTGGAGCTATGGCTTTGACTAATGATCAAGTTCTTGAAAGTAGGGCTAAATTTTTTGGTACATGATATTTTGATAGATCTCACAATCGGAACCATCAAAAACCAGATTAAATACAAGTATACAACAAAGAATTAATAATAAAAAAAAAAACCATAACATTGGAAAAAGATTAGATTTTAATAGATTAAGTTGTGTTGTACAATGGAAACCTCGTCTTGAGCTCTAAGATGTTCAAAAACCACCAATTCTGAGGAGATGGGTAAAATGCAACCTTAAATAACAAAAATTGAAAGCAGTACAGTAATAGATATCAGAACAAAGGCTTCTTTCCCTTTAACATTCCCATCAACTGATCAAAAACACGTCCTCCATCATCACGCAGACCGGAATGCATGTATTCGTTAGTTATCCATAGCCTAATTCCCGCTATCTGAGATGCTGTCTCCCTAGCTATTTTAAAGTTAACATACATATCATCATAATAAACAGCAGCTGCAACAGGTACCTGGCAATAGTAGAAACGAAATCTCTCAGTAAAGAATGATAAAGATTACAAGCTAATCTTAAGAAAAGGAATCAGATCTCTGTTGCATAATGTTCTTGGTAACTCATGATTCAAGAACATTAAAATATAATGCTGCAATATACCCTGTTATTATTTAGCGTGACAACATCATAGAGGGGAGGCCAATCCTTCTTCTCAGCTAACAAATGAGCAGCTTCTTTAAAGGGTCTCAAGGCATGAATTTCATCAAACATCCACGGGAAAACCATCTGTAAAAGCAAAAGCCAAAGATTTTATAGTTGAAGAGCAAGACAGTAGATAAAAAAGAAACAGAAAAAAGCTAAGCAAGAAAAAGAGAATATGCAAATTGTCAATTAGCCACAAAATAAGATTAAGACAGTAAGTCATAGAATGCATATGGCATGCAACTATTGTGCTTTCGCATAGTTTTTATAACATAAAGTCATGCAACTCATGTCTACCTCTCCTGTGAAAAGCACAGGACGGCCTTCTTTCACAGCCCTGATTGGATGAAATTTGCCCTCATAGTCAGCCATTATTCTTTCAGCAGCCCACCGTGATGAAGCACCCTTTAATATCACAAAAATTAGAAATTTTGAGAAACTCATTATACTCAAGCTAGAATGTACCCGTCTGTTTGTGTGCAAGACAATGCAACTCAACTCAGCAAAGCCTCATGTGAAATATTTGTATCAAATAAGAAATCTGGTTCCACAATGTATTACCCAGGGAACTATATATATATACAATGAAGAGGATTCAGGAACTTACTTGACAGTATATAGTCTCATGCATTAAAGCAAAAAGTGGGTTTGTATCAAAACCTAACCAATTTTCAACCTGCATGTATCAGTGACTTAATGATGATTCTGAACATGAAATCTGTAAATTCAATATTTGATCAAATAAGCAGAAATTTGCTTACAGCATTCAAGAAATAGTAACTAATTCGTTTTGGAGCTCCTGGAACTATTACAGGATCCCAGACCCTCTCCAACCTATAGGATATAGATATCAAAATCAGAAAAAGAGGGAGATAAAAAATCAACAAAAAAACTGGAAAGTAAGTTATTATTGTAAACAGATAAACATTCATGATGACTTACATATAGTGTAAGCGCTCAAAACCGGAACTGGATCCTAAACCATTAAGTCCAAGTGCTTGCAATATTCTTGGGGTTAAGATACCCCCTGATGGCAGAAGCACCTACAAAACAAGGTTTAGAATGGTGAAATTGCAAACATTTATCTAAATTTCAGCATCAGGCAAGCTACCAATATCATGTGGTAGATCCTCACCTCGCCTCCTTCAGATTCTGCCAAATGATTCACAATATCACGTACAATTTCAATATCCTGAGGAAATCTATTGTAATACTTTTCATTCTGCAGAATAACCTGTTCGAAGCATACTTTATAGACAAAATCTGCAGTGCATCCATTTCCAAGTGGAGGAGTTCCTCCAGTTAGAAGAGCTTGTTTCAGTCCTTGTGGTGCAAAACTCAAATAGGTAACTGCACAAAACCCACCATAGCTCTACATAAAGAAAAGCAGCATCAGTCTCATTGTCATGTTGGCTCCACTGCATTGCATATTATAACAAATAACTGAATACAACAACATTGAAGAACAAGAATTCGATAAACATAAGCCACATTACAATGAAAAGGCATGGAGCTTAAGAATGGTGAAATATGACAAAAAAATAACCTGTCTGAAAACAAGCTATCCAACGATCACCCAAAAGCACAACAAATAGTAATCCAAAATACCTGACCCAAAATAGTCCAAGGTCTAGCTTCAGGATCAAGTCGAACTCGGATAAACTCAGCATCATTTACTATATTGTCAGCTCGAAAATGTTTTAAGTAGTCAACCAAATCCTCAGCAGACTTTAGTTGCAGCATAGATGACGCAGACAAAGGAGTCGATAGACCTGTTCCTCGCTGCAAGAAAATATAATCAGCAGGGACAAGGATATTGAATACTTAATAAAGGTCATGATAAGTACATGGAGCTTAGAGCATTCCGAAAAAATGCCTGATCCATCAAAACAACACGAAATTCTTCGCATGCTTTCTGTATCCATCCACTGGATTCAGTTGGTCGTGGGCATTCAAAACCAGGTCCACCTTGTAGAAATAAAAGGTATGGCAATGGTTGCTCTTCTCTACCAACTGCGCAAGGAACAAGACAAGACCAACATAATTAGAAACAAACACAAAATACAATGTGAAATTGCCGATGTATTTGCGGGTAGCTTCCTGAATTGTGTCTACGTCACGTGTAACCTTTTCCACGACAACTAGTATTTAAATGCATTTCGCGTTATCCACATATTCAATTTTCGTTTTCCTCTAAAAAGCATTAAACGATACGTGAGCAAAAATATTGCAGTTGGACCTTTACTGCTTCCATTTTCCGAATTGATTTTTCTTTCTTTTTCCAGAGTATAGGCAACGGAACAAGCGACTCAACAAGAGCATACTTTACAAACACGCCAAAATCAAATCAAAGAAGTGCGAGAATCAAACGATGATTAACAAATTAACAAATTTACTACTCAGACAAAGATTTGATTAATGAATCTTTAATGTTGGTACCAGCAACAACTTCGCGAGCAAAAACGGTGATCTTTGGTGAGGCATTGCGATCAATAGAGTAATCGAGAGGAACAGTGAAGCGATGGTCGCGAAGACGAAGTTCCGGTATCGAGAACCACTTCCCAGCAACGTGTTCCGGCGATGATTCCCCGGCAGTGATATTACCTCCGGCCATGGCGATGAAACCGCGCTCCCCGTTCCGGCAACAGTAGAAGTGAAGCGTAGTCCTTGGACTTAGTGAAACTGTGCGAGGAGATAAGGGGGAAAGTAAGCGAAGTAAAAGTGGTTTTATCAAGGAGCGTGGCGCGTAGGTTGCCAGCATATTTAGGAGTTGAGGAATGAATTTTCTGTAGCAGTTTATCTGACACGTGGTTATCCTTTGAAGATTTCGAAGTCTAAATGTCTAATTTACTAGCAAAATAATATAACATAAAAAATTCTTCGATGCAAGAGCTCTAAATCACATTACTAGATGAATAGTAACTCTTTGGAGATGTCTGATATCAGAGAATAAACATCATTTTATTAAGCACCCTTATTTTTAGAATAATACCATACATATAAATTGTTATGTACAAATTGTTTTGAGTAGACGAGGACAAAGGAACGTGAGCCAAACTTGAAAAGCTTTATTCGGGTCCAGTAAACTCTCTCTTAAGGACCAACTTTATGGCCTCAGGATAAGAAGACGGAGATTTAATGACGCATTTAAATGAGTTCGATATTGGGGTAAAGTTTGAAGACGAAGACGAAGTCTTTTTGTTGTTGAGGTCTTTGTCGAATTCCTTCAAACAATTGAGGACAACCACTTAGACATGATGGGTTGGTACAAGACATAATTTTGTATGTAAAGATGGGCAAGTATAGCGATAACGCTCAAGGAAAGGACTTCTTGTAAAGTAGCCAAGTGAGCGAGTGGGAAAGAAATGGCATTACTAAGAAGTTCAAAGCAGAGATCAAGGATGGTAAGAGAGTCAAGACAAACCCTACGACAAGCATTAAATCGTTTTATTAAGCTACCACCATAACTAACTATATACCACAACCATAAGTTTAAGAAAAAATTTCATCGGCTTGAGGTAGTTGTTAAACTTTCTAGCTTAGAGTGGGTTGTTGCCACAAGGCAGTAAAACAGTGAGCAAAAGTTGTAAGATGAGTTAAGGGAGGTTTGGGTGTGGAAACAGGAATGGGAATGAGAGGAGTAGAAGTCGATCAGTGCAGGTTAGTGATTTCATGAGTGTTTGTTTTTTAGTGGCCACAATGTTTCTCCTCTTCAGATGAATCAGGAGAGGAGTCGTGGGTTGTTTTAGCTGCATAACCAACGGAGGTGAGGCTTTGACTCTCACAGTGGATAGGCGAAGGAAAATATATCCCATTGGTTTTGGCTTTGATGATTTTTGGCCCATACAGTATGCATTGTTCATTATATATTTGCTGGTATATCTAGTATTTTCCCAAGAAGATAAACAATGTTTAGGGATTATTGAATAAAAATAAATCCCAAGAGCTTATGTTTAGAGAAAGGACTCAATAATGGCATGAAATTCTAATATACCCCTCCAGGTGTATTGTCAAACTTGATCAACAGCCTTGTCACATGGATTTAAACATTGACCACGCAAGTTTTTCCAAGACTCAAATACAAAACCTTTTGATTTGTCGAACTTTGATTAAAATTAATCCCATAATATGAAATACTTTCATCTTGTAGTCTTATTATCTGCAGGTTCTGGTTTAACATGATCTGTTGGGATGCTGCAACACCCACATCATGCCAAGGTTTAATCTTAATTCTTGCAAGCGCCATTATGTTTTAGTTGATCATTTTCTTCTACAACATAGTTTACTTGAATTACGCTTTACCCCAAAGTTCTGCAAAACAGTATGCCAGTGTTGGAAATGTGATTAACAAAGCTCTCTCAGAGTATAAGGAAGAAGTAATGAATGGTTCATTCCCTGGTCCAGGCCATACTCCATAAAAATCAGTGATACCCCATATAAGTTTTGTTTCTGTCCTAAAACATCTATTTCTTTTTAACATTTGTTATAATAGGGAGTATTTTCTAGTACTTTGAACTGCAGGATTTGGACTTAGTGGACCAAAACCCCAGGGTAAAAGAATTAACGCCTTCGTAAACACCTACTTAAACCCTTCAATAAGATTTTTAAACCCCTCATAGCCTGAACAGTTACACAACCCGCTATTCTATTCTGCTTCTTCTACAACATGAGCTTAACAAAACAAACTAATCTCCTTCTTAAACCCCAATATCTCTTCCTCCTCCGTCGCCTCTCGACCGAACCCACTCCACCAGCACCATCACAATCACCATCGCAACGGCCACCTCTACAGGACTCTGAATCATCATCATTAATAAGCGAAGCAGTAAACCTCCTTCTCCAAACCCCACATAATGAATGGACCTCCTCTTCTGAACTCAATCACCTCCTCTTTTCTTCCTCTCCAACTCCTCGTCTTTTCTTAAAAATCAGCCGTCACTTTCCCTCCTCTTCACAAGCCCTCACTTTCTTCAATTATATCAAATCCAACTCACTTTCACAACAAAACACCCAAATACTCTCTTCCACCTTTCAAGCCATTTTCGAGCTCGCCAGTCGTGAACCGGATTCGTATAACAAGCTCTGTGACCTTTATAAGGAATGCAAAGACCAAAATGTTCCTCTTTCTATTAATGCCGCCACACTTCTCATTCGCTGCTTTGGAAAGGCCAATATGGTTGATCAGTCGCTACTGGTGTACAATGAACTTGAGCCCAATATTAAAAACACTCATATACGCAATGTGTTGATTGATGTATTAATAAGAGACGGGCGGTTTGATGACGCGCTCAATGTGCTCGACCAAATGCTTCAGCGGGAATCCGAATTTCCGCCTAATGATGTTACTGGGGATATTGTTTTCTACGCGTTAATGAAGAAGAACCGCATCAGGAGGAATGTGAGTGATGAGGAAACAGTTAGTTTGGTGTATAAATTTGGTGAACATGGAGTTTTTCCTAACGTGGTTTGGTTAACACAGATAATTTTCAGACTTTGTAGAAATAAAAAAACAGGTGTAGCTTGGGATGTTTTGCATGATTTGATGAAATTGGGCGCTCCTATAGAAGTGGCTTCTTGCAATGCGCTCTTGAGTGGTTTAGGAAAGGCTGGGGATTTTAAGAGAATGAATCAGTTATTGTTGGAGATGAAGGAAACTGATATTCAGCCGGATGTTGTGACCTTTGGAATTTTAATTAATCGGTTATGTAAATCGTGGAGAGTTGATGAAGCTTTAGAGGTGTTTGAGAAAATGAGTGGAAGCAAAGAGATAGATTGGGTTCCTATTGAACCTGATGTAATCATTTATAATACTTTGATTGATGGATTTTGTAAAGCAGGGAGGGTAGAAGAAGGATTGGGTCTGATGGAAAGGATGAGATCACAAAACAGTTGTAAGCCTAATGTTGTTACCTACAATTGCCTGATTGATGGGTTTTGTAAAGCAGGCAATATTGAGAGTGGGCAAGAGCTTTTTGATCAGATGAAGGAGGAAGGAATTGTGCCTAATGTGATCACTCTAAATACTTTGATTGATGGCATGTGTAGACATGGAAGAATCAATAGTGCAGTTCAACTTTTCAAGGAGATGATGAGGAAAGGCTTGCATGGTAATGCTGTTACTTACACGACCTTGATCCATGCTTTTTGTAATGTTGGCAATATTCAAGAGGCAATGGCATGGTTCCATGATATGTGTCAAGCTGGGTGCTCTGTGGATGCAATGGTTTACTATACCTTGATCTCTGGTTTGTGTCTGGCTGGAAGGGTGGATGATGCCAGTGTTGTATTATCTAAGTTAAAAGAAGCTGGTTTGTGCCCTGATATTGTGTGCTACAATGTTCTGATTGGTGCGTTTTGCAGGAAGAAAATGTTGGATAAAGCTTATGAGATGCTTACAGAAATGGAGGCTGCTGGAATTAGGCCTGATTGTGTCACGTATAACACTTTGATTTCCTATTTATCTAAAGCCGGGAACTTTTTAGCTGCTCGTAGAGTGATGAAAGAGATGCTTAACGATGGTTTTGTGCCTACTGTTGTTACATATGGAGCTATAATACATGCATATTGCTTACACGGAATGGTGGATGAAGCCATGAAGATTTTCACAGACATGAGTTCTGCATCAAAGGTCGCACCAAACACTGTGATATACAACACTCTGATAGACTCACTGTGCAAGAATAATCAAGTAGAACTTGCTCTTTCTCTAATGGATGATATGAAAGTTAAGGGGGTGAAGCCAAATACTACGACGTTTAATGCCATGTTTAAAGGCCTTCGGGAGAAGAATATGTTGGATAAAGCATTGAAATTGATGGACAAAATGACTGAGCATGCTTGTCATCCTGATTATGTATCAATGGAGATTCTTACAGAATGGTTTTCTGCTGTCGGTGAAACAGAAAAATTAAGAAAATTTGTGCAAGGATGTGAGGTTTCTGCTGCCCCTGCATAGAATGGATGTAGTTGAGAGGTTATGATTTCTGGAAATTCACCTGCTGAGTTGGGCCAACCCAAGAGATATTTGAAAACAATTTCAAGCTCCAAATTTTCTGAGCCTATAGTTTCGCCATTCTGCGAAATTTCAGTCCTTGCTGCATATACCCTCCTGCAGTAACTGAGGGACGAGCTATTTATTCTTGGGATACATGTCATGTGGCCTGAGATGTATGCAATTCAATTTTTACTTTTGACAATAAAGGAGAAATGCTAGTAATCTGATGTTAAATTTTCTGATTTGCTCATGTTTTGGTTGTGGATTACATGCCGAGGATTGGTATTAATAATAGTAATTTGATGTACATGTTCAAATTAGTCTATTCCAACAAGAATTGTTTCTGAAATAAGTAGAGCATACGGAGTTGCATTTACATGAAAGAGGAATCCAAACAGATAGGTGCTGTAAAGTTGGTTAAAATTCTGAAAATGGTTGGTGTCACTCTTTTTTCAAAATGATCACTTCCTTGCCAGTTGCCGTGGATCTGTAACATCTGTTGATAATCTGGAAAATGTTACTGTATCAGATTTTCTATCAACTAATCATATTATACCATTTTTATTATTCTATCAATACTTACAATCTAATCTAATAAATTTTATCTAACAACCCTAATGTGTCAGTTCGCAATTAGTCAACTTGCAATGAAACTTATCTACCCAATAATGGGTATTGCATGTCCAATTATAAGTTGATCAATTGTGAACTATCACGTTAGAGTTGTGAAAAAAAGTTTATAAGATTAGATCGTAAGTCAATCTTTATTGTTTTAATAATTCATGTTATTAATGTGGGGTTTAGATTTCGAATACAAGTTAAAGATTCTTTTAATTTTTAAAAAAGAAAAGAGAAAAACCACAACTTATTTTTATTCCTGTATTAAATAGTTGTAAGACCCTTCTTATTGACATTAGATTATAATTATATTATTAATTCAATAACATTATCTATTAGATTAGAATAAGCAAATATTATAATATTATTTAAAATTCCAATTCAGTTTTATAGACATTTCTTGATATTCAATGTGTACCACAAGTCCACTGCACTTAAATTTAAAGAAAAAGAATAGATATTGCATAAAAATGTTTATTTGAATGTACTGGTGGTGTGAGTTGTAATGTAACTGAGCCGGTAACTTAGAAATTCTCCACTGAGAAACCAAGGACTTATTCCTTGTGTCCAGACATGTCCACCTCACAAATAATAATTATAATTACCAAGAATTTAGTGAACCCACACGCCACAGCTGTCTGTTTAATCTTTTACCAAATGAAGGTTAGATGCTGTTAATTTAAATATCACAAAGACAGAGACGTCATATACATTCAGATTAAATGAACACCATGGAAATTGTAAAAATAAAGTAAAGTGAATAAAGATGAAAACCATTGTCTGGTTTCTCAGTAAGAAGCGCACAAAAAGTTAAAACAGACGAGCATATTCTTGATAACTAAACCATCAGTCCTTTTAAACGTTATTTTTTTTTTTTGAAAGGATTTCATTACTACGCTACGCTGCTACTTTACTGGTATACATTAACAAAATAGAACTGATTCTCTTTTCATCTACAAGACTCGCCAATGGACTCAACACATACCAATCCATTGTTTGTTTTAGGTTCTACTTTTCTACAAGAAGCTCCTAAATAACTGTATAATTTATATTTAACAGAAACCATTAACATTAATACACCCCAGGGTAAAAGAATTAACGCCTTCGTAAACACCTACTTAAACCCTTCAATAAGATTTTTAAACCCCTCATAGCCTGAACAGTTACACAACCCGCTATTCTATTCTGCTTCTTCTACAACATGAGCTTAACAAAACAAACTAATCTCCTTCTTAAACCCCAATATCTCTTCCTCCTCCGTCGCCTCTCGACCGAACCCACTCCACCAGCACCATCACAATCACCATCGCAACGGCCACCTCTACAGGACTCTGAATCATCATCATTAATAAGCGAAGCAGTAAACCTCCTTCTCCAAACCCCACATAATGAATGGACCTCCTCTTCTGAACTCAATCACCTCCTCTTTTCTTCCTCTCCAACTCCTCGTCTTTTCTTAAAAATCAGCCGTCACTTTCCCTCCTCTTCACAAGCCCTCACTTTCTTCAATTATATCAAATCCAACTCACTTTCACAACAAAACACCCAAATACTCTCTTCCACCTTTCAAGCCATTTTCGAGCTCGCCAGTCGTGAACCGGATTCGTATAACAAGCTCTGTGACCTTTATAAGGAATGCAAAGACCAAAATGTTCCTCTTTCTATTAATGCCGCCACACTTCTCATTCGCTGCTTTGGAAAGGCCAATATGGTTGATCAGTCGCTACTGGTGTACAATGAACTTGAGCCCAATATTAAAAACACTCATATACGCAATGTGTTGATTGATGTATTAATAAGAGACGGGCGGTTTGATGACGCGCTCAATGTGCTCGACCAAATGCTTCAGCGGGAATCCGAATTTCCGCCTAATGATGTTACTGGGGATATTGTTTTCTACGCGTTAATGAAGAAGAACCGCATCAGGAGGAATGTGAGTGATGAGGAAACAGTTAGTTTGGTGTATAAATTTGGTGAACATGGAGTTTTTCCTAACGTGGTTTGGTTAACACAGATAATTTTCAGACTTTGTAGAAATAAAAAAACAGGTGTAGCTTGGGATGTTTTGCATGATTTGATGAAATTGGGCGCTCCTATAGAAGTGGCTTCTTGCAATGCGCTCTTGAGTGGTTTAGGAAAGGCTGGGGATTTTAAGAGAATGAATCAGTTATTGTTGGAGATGAAGGAAACTGATATTCAGCCGGATGTTGTGACCTTTGGAATTTTAATTAATCGGTTATGTAAATCGTGGAGAGTTGATGAAGCTTTAGAGGTGTTTGAGAAAATGAGTGGAAGCAAAGAGATAGATTGGGTTCCTATTGAACCTGATGTAATCATTTATAATACTTTGATTGATGGATTTTGTAAAGCAGGGAGGGTAGAAGAAGGATTGGGTCTGATGGAAAGGATGAGATCACAAAACAGTTGTAAGCCTAATGTTGTTACCTACAATTGCCTGATTGATGGGTTTTGTAAAGCAGGCAATATTGAGAGTGGGCAAGAGCTTTTTGATCAGATGAAGGAGGAAGGAATTGTGCCTAATGTGATCACTCTAAATACTTTGATTGATGGCATGTGTAGACATGGAAGAATCAATAGTGCAGTTCAACTTTTCAAGGAGATGATGAGGAAAGGCTTGCATGGTAATGCTGTTACTTACACGACCTTGATCCATGCTTTTTGTAATGTTGGCAATATTCAAGAGGCAATGGCATGGTTCCATGATATGTGTCAAGCTGGGTGCTCTGTGGATGCAATGGTTTACTATACCTTGATCTCTGGTTTGTGTCTGGCTGGAAGGGTGGATGATGCCAGTGTTGTATTATCTAAGTTAAAAGAAGCTGGTTTGTGCCCTGATATTGTGTGCTACAATGTTCTGATTGGTGCGTTTTGCAGGAAGAAAATGTTGGATAAAGCTTATGAGATGCTTACAGAAATGGAGGCTGCTGGAATTAGGCCTGATTGTGTCACGTATAACACTTTGATTTCCTATTTATCTAAAGCCGGGAACTTTTTAGCTGCTCGTAGAGTGATGAAAGAGATGCTTAACGATGGTTTTGTGCCTACTGTTGTTACATATGGAGCTATAATACATGCATATTGCTTACACGGAATGGTGGATGAAGCCATGAAGATTTTCACAGACATGAGTTCTGCATCAAAGGTCGCACCAAACACTGTGATATACAACACTCTGATAGACTCACTGTGCAAGAATAATCAAGTAGAACTTGCTCTTTCTCTAATGGATGATATGAAAGTTAAGGGGGTGAAGCCAAATACTACGACGTTTAATGCCATGTTTAAAGGCCTTCGGGAGAAGAATATGTTGGATAAAGCATTGAAATTGATGGACAAAATGACTGAGCATGCTTGTCATCCTGATTATGTATCAATGGAGATTCTTACAGAATGGTTTTCTGCTGTCGGTGAAACAGAAAAATTAAGAAAATTTGTGCAAGGATGTGAGGTTTCTGCTGCCCCTGCATAGAATGGATGTAGTTGAGAGGTTATGATTTCTGGAAATTCACCTGCTGAGTTGGGCCAACCCAAGAGATATTTGAAAACAATTTCAAGCTCCAAATTTTCTGAGCCTATAGTTTCGCCATTCTGCGAAATTTCAGTCCTTGCTGCATATACCCTCCTGCAGTAACTGAGGGACGAGCTATTTATTCTTGGGATACATGTCATGTGGCCTGAGATGTATGCAATTCAATTTTTACTTTTGACAATAAAGGAGAAATGCTAGTAATCTGATGTTAAATTTTCTGATTTGCTCATGTTTTGGTTGTGGATTACATGCCGAGGATTGGTATTAATAATAGTAATTTGATGTACATGTTCAAATTAGTCTATTCCAACAAGAATTGTTTCTGAAATAAGTAGAGCATACGGAGTTGCATTTACATGAAAGAGGAATCCAAACAGATAGGTGCTGTAAAGTTGGTTAAAATTCTGAAAATGGTTGGTGTCACTCTTTTTTCAAAATGATCACTTCCTTGCCAGTTGCCGTGGATCTGTAACATCTGTTGATAATCTGGAAAATGTTACTGTATCAGATTTCTATCAACTAATCATATTATAGAATTTTTATTATATCAACATTTACATTCTAATCTCACAAACTTTATCCAACAACCCTAACGTGTCAGTTCGCAATTAGTCAACTCGCAATGAGTCCTGTCTTCCCAATAATGGGTATCATCTGTCTAATTGTAAGCTGATCAATTGTGAACTATCACATTAAGGTTGTAAGAGAGTTTATACGATTAGTTCATAAGTCAATCTTTATTGTTTTAATAATTCATGTTATTAATGTGAATTCAAGTTAAGATTCTTTTCATTTTTAAAAAGAAAAGAGAAAAACCACAACTTATTTTTATTCCTATATTAAATAGTTGTAAGACCCTTCTCATTGACATTAGATTATAATTATATTATTAATTCAATAACATTATCTATTAGATTAGAATAAGCAAATATTATAATATTATTTAAAATTCCAATTCAGTTTTATAGACATTTCTTGATATTCAATGTGTACCACAAGTCCAGTGCACTTAAATTTAAAGAAAAATAATAGATATTGCATAAAAATGTTTATTTGAATGTACTGGTGGTGTGAGTTGTAATGTGACTGAGCCGGTAACTTAGAAATTCTCCACTGAGAAACCAAGGACTTATTCCTTGTGTCCAGACATGTCCACCTCACAAATAATAATTATAATTACCAAGAATTTAATGAACCCACACGCCACAGCTGTCTGTTTAATCTTTTACCAAATGAAGGTTAGATGCTGTTAATTTAAATATCACAAAGACACAGACGTCATAAACATTCACATTAAATGAACACCATGGAAATTGTAAAAATAAAGTAAAGTGAATAAAGATGAAAACCATTCTCTGGTTTCTCAGTAAGAAGCCCACAAAAAGTTAAAACAGACGAGCATATTCTTGATAACTAAACCACCAGTCCTTTTAAACGTTATTTTTTTTTTTTTTTTTTTTTGAAAGGATTTCATTACTACGCTACGCTGCTACTTTACTGGTATACATTAACAAAATAGAACTGATTCTCTTTTCATCTACAAGACTCGCCAATGGACTCAACACACACCAATCCATTGTTTGTTTTAGGTTCTACTTTTCTACAAGAAGCTCCTAAATAACTGTATAATTTATATTTAACAGAAACCATTAACATTAATAACAGTGACTTGTCCACCCAATTAGATACTGCCGGCAGCGGTAGCAGCGCTGTTCGCAACCCAAGGAAGTCCAAAATTCGCCGGAAAGTTATCGGAAAAATTCTCTCCAGAGGCGAATCCCTCTAAACCCACAAAGAAATCATCACTAATTCCAACATCTGAGAACCCAAGATCTTCTTCTTCTTCATCTTCTAGCATATCTAGTTCTAGTTCTCTGCTTTCCGTATTTGTACTTTCAGGAACAACTTCTTCTTCAACTTCTAAGGAAGTTGTTGGAGAAGAGGAAGAGAAAGTGGGTTTGTCTGAAGAAGAAGGGGGTTTGTTAGAGTCACTAGTGGTGGTGGTGGTGGCGGTGGTGGTTTGGCCTTGAGGCGTCACGGGTTTCTGGCGCGTGCTGCCGGCCAGTGAGTTTCGGTGGGTTGGTGCTGGGTGGTTGTGCTCAGCTGTGTATGTTACTATGAACATACCCGGATCCGATCTGTTTCGCTCCACTTGTTTACGGGCCAAACACCCCTTTGAACTGCTACATCTGTAATAACCCCTGTTGTTCAATAAACAAACCAAACCTCAATCAATTACACCAAAATTACCCCAACTCATCTTACACTCGTCACATATAACACATAATATAAAAAAATTATGAGATATAATTTTAGGTGCACATAATTGTTGAATTAATGAACTCAATTAAAGACAAACCTTGGATAAGGAGAGCCTTTGATGGGTTTCTGGCCATATTTTCTCCAAGCCCAAACGTCTGAAGAAAGACCCTCTTCTGGAACTTGGCAAACCCTCTTCTGTTGATTCTTTCTGCAGAAAAATAATAAAGAATATACATATGTTAATATATATCTCAGCTACAAAATGAGATGATTTTAATGTTTTTCATTCTTAGTAGGACAATATAAACCAACAAAAAAATCTACCTTCTTTTGGATCGAGGAGTATGAGAATTTGCAGTAGAAGAAGTGGCTACAGAGGGAGCATGAGACTGCTTAGGCTGTTGTTGTAGTTGTTTGAAGTGTGTTCGGTCCCTTGAAGAATTCATAGCGGAAAGAGAAGATATGGGTTTGCTAACCATATTACTTTTTGGTGAAATAGGATTAGATTTAGGAAAGAATGGCTTGTAAAGGTCATGCAACTCTTCGATGGCATTTCTTGCTTCAAAAGGGTCAACCAAAGAAAAAAGAGGAGCAACTTGTTCACAAGTAGTGAAAGAAGAAAACCAAGATTGAGAATCAAAAACATCCTTGAAAGATGTAGTAGGTGAATTAGTGACGGTGGTGGTAGCGGTGGAGGTGGTGTTGCAGCCTCTGACCACCGCATGCAGATCCCAGTCTACCTCCATGGCTTCTAAAATCTTTTAGAGACAAAGGTCTGTGAATCTGTACCTGGCTTCTCTGCTGCTACTGTTTAGAGAAAAGAGAAAGAGAAAAGACACACAGACAAAAGAAGGCGCTGACTTTTGAGAGGGAGAGAGGAAGAGGCAAGACAAGAGTGGTGCAATAAGTGGAAAAACAATTATATATATAAAGATGTATATAGAGAGAGAGAGAGAGAGAGAGAAATAGTGTAAATATAAAACACACAAAAAAATGGAGACATAGAAACAAGTAGTTTTGGTTTTGTTTTAAGAAAAAGAGAGAGAGAAAGAAATAAGGGTTGGCATCTCTATGTTATCTTGTCCTTTTCTCTTTTAACTTTCAAACATTGAAAACCGGAAATGGTTTTATGGTTTTGTGTTGACTTATGAAAATGTCAAACCCCAATCAAGTTTGGGACTCTTCAATGAAAATTGAAAAAGTCCACACGCTCTGCTGGAAGCTCGTGAGTTACCGACACAGGGAAAAAGATTAAAAGTGGAGGCCAGTTAATTTGGGTGCTCCTATCAATTTCGGTCAGTACTGGATGGGATGTATCCACAACCTTCACGCGCTTACTAGACCCTGCATCACACGCTTCTCATGCCTTTATTCCATGTTTCAAAGTTGGGAATTAACAGTTTTTTTTTTTTCAATTGATTTGTTTACCATATTTAAGTATTTGACAACACAAATTCTAAGCATTTGTAGGTAATTCCCATATAGGCAAACTAAATCAAATATTTAACTTTTCTTCTTATGGTTAAATAATAAACCCTTTAATCACTGGAGTTTGTTATACCTAAAGATTTTGTGCTCAAATCCTTAAAGAGGTGATTATTGGGTTTATTCAAAAAAAAAAAAAAATCAAATATTTAAAAGTTAAAACATTAATCTTAGTAATGGATATTAAAAAAATAATATTAACTGTTAGGTGAAGAAGGAGGCAATTTGTGCCAAATTTAGGCAAACTAAATTAGCAAAGTGGATGCCCAACAACTTGATTTGGCAGGGGACACTTGATAGATAGATTAAGACAGCAGCTTGATGTGAATGAATATGAAAGCGCGCAAGTTTAATGAATGTAAATTTAAATTAGGATAACACATTTCATTAATTTTATCTTACAAACGAGATGTATTAGTTTTTACAAACGAGATGTATTAATTTGTAATTAGCTTATTTATAATAAATCTAATTTAATTAAATGCTAACTAATCAATTACATACTATCATGCATTTACTAGAGAAAATTGGGAAGTGTCAACCTATTTTTATTTTTTAAAATAATACAAAAATTATTTCTCCATTTCACTTCTCACTTAATTTTGCTTCATCCACCACATTATTCCCTTCCCCTAGAACTGGACAGAGTAAAAAGAGTAGAAAAAAACCGAAATGCCTGTGGCCGCCACGTGTGTTGTAGGTAACGAATTTGCTTTCCATAGACGCCAAAAAAGTAGGGTTTATCCAGTCACTTAGATCGACGGCTTTAAGTGGGTTATAGTTCACACTATCAATGTTGTTGAATGAGGCGCGTGGCGTCGCACGAGATAAGGTGGTGAAGTGGCACTTGACAGCTTGCAGATTTTGTGGGGCCCGCCGTCTTTTGGCAAAAGTCATGCCGTTAGCAGCAGCATCGCGTGCCTCGTGATTCAATGTGAAACAGCTTCTTTTTTCTTCAGAATCCTATGATACAACAATCTGACGGTTAAGAATTCATTCAATATGGTTTGATCTGCACCGTAAATCAGATTCTTTATTCCACTCTTTTGACGGCGGATGATTCGCTGACACTGTCTTAATGAACTTATGCTAATTGGATTTACGAGACGTTCAGACGTGGGTAGCACGAGGCATTCATATTCAATGGGAAGCGTGTGGGGTCGATGTCTCATAGGTGGGCCTGCTTCCTACTTACAATTTGCAAAAGTCAAAATGGGTTGACCCGATCTTAATGCACCGGGGATTCAAATTATTTTCTGTTTGACCAAATTTATCTATATATTTCTTTTATATATATATATATATATATATATCTTTGTTAAGGTGTTTTGACTAATTAATATATTATCCTATCAACTATCAAGTTGTCACTTGAACACTGGATCCGAACATGGGCATGCCGATTTTCTCTTAATTCTTCTTGGAACATGTCAACATGAAAAAAAATTAATAATAATAAAAAAAAAAAATAAGGAGAGAAGGGAAATGGTAGGAAAGAAAGGCAAAAATCTCATAAGATTTTGAATTTGTATTTCAAAGTTTAATCTTTTTGTTTATTTCCTTAGACTAATTGATTAGTTATATTATTGGATTTAATGACGCAGCTAATCGATTCATCTGAAACTAGTTCTTTCAAGATTTCATCAGTATTATAATGCAAAGTCAGTTTGTTAAGTAAACATGTGCTGAGAGATTGATTCTTTAATATTGACAAAGCTTTTTGCATCAAAACAAAGGAATGAGTTCCACAAAGTAGTGATAATGGTGGAGATCGAAGAAGATATGAAGCATTTCTAGAATTGGACCAGCACCACCACCAACGAGTCTATAACACATAAGCTGCCGGCTTACTCTTTTCTCTTTTTTTTTTCTTAATGCTTTTTTTAAGGTATGATATGTACACTGATATTGATAGATTTGTAAAGCACTTGCTTTTAAAAAAAAAGGGGTAGGAATGGGGTTTGGTTGGTAGAGATATTTTTATATCTTTCTTCCTAAATATATTGATATTGTGGGGGGATTTAGTCAAGAGTTGTCGATTTGGTTGGTCAAACATTTACTGTCAAAACAATATATTTCTTTCATTTTAAACTAGTTAGGATTAGAACGGAACGAGAATTCAAGATTTTCAGTTTCTACGTTAAAAGATTAGATAGACGTATGGGTAGATAGATAGAGACTGGAAAAGATTTGGAATGGAATGTAGTGGACAAGCCACGACGATTGATTATAGTGGTGGCTGTGGGGTCACTGACAAGTTTGATCTTTCATTTTAGGAGTGGGTTATTTTGAGAGCTTTTTGTGAGAGGATTATGTATCATGGGTTTGGCACAAGGGAAGGACCTATAAGTGATAGATAGCTATGGATGGACAACTTAATCTCCACTAAAATTTTCTTCGGCCATCTATCCCTCTCAATGTACCAATTTCAAAGAGAGAGAGAGAGCACTTTATAGTGGGTGAGAGAGAGGCTGCCAAAGTAGTGAAATTACAGGAGGCACCCACCACATTAAGGTGCAGTGCCAAAGTGTCTTAATCACTGGCTACACTTTTTTGTAATCCCATTTATGATTCGATGAACTTGATAGAATTATATAACCTTTTTATTAAATTTCAGCCTTCATTTGTGCCGCCTCCATTATTATTCATTAGAGGGCAGAGGCTATCCTGACCTTACGTGTTGTGCTCAAGCCCATACACATGACATGACCATCCCCAAATGCCCAAACACGAAACTGTAAAATTTTATGATAATTTATATCAGGGGATTAGTTTATCAATTCCATAAAATCTTCTAAAGAAAGTCCACTAACTTATTCCTATACTACATTCAACAAAACCATCATGTTTTATTAATTTATTTTATATCTACTTCTTTTAAAGACAACCATCGTGTTTGCATTAAAAAGAAAAATCCAGAGTCGCTATTTTATCGTAATTTGTAAATGATAATAATCTACAGATTTTAACAAAGATATTACATACTTTAAGCCATCAAAATTATAAACCATCTGCTTCCTTAAGTGAACACTGATTGAAACATAGGGCTCTTTCGTCTTTTCTAGTTTTCCATTTCATTTCTCCAATGAATTTCTAGGATATAAAATATAATGATGACATGGTTCAATCTTGCGGTGCATCAAAAATAAATTTAGAAAAAAAAAAAAAAAAAAAAAAAAAAGAAGAAGAAGAGTATAAATACGCATCATTAAATTCTAGTATGTAACGCACACTACAAAAAATCACCCTTCACTGTCACTGTTTCTCTCTAAAAGTTATCATTTACAAAAGGCACAAACCAAGGCACAAGATACTTTCCATTTTGAATTGGTCAAAGCAGAAACTGCAAACCTAAAGAATAAATTAAAGTAATACGAGACCAGGAAAATACAACTATTGTGTCTTCCCATTCATATCTTAAAAAATATATACTCAGAAAGGAGGAAAAAGTTAAGGAAAGAATTAGAACACGAACTCTCTGTTGTACCCTATTCTCTGCATGGAGATGACTAAGTTCTGGTGCCACCAAAATCAGGTGTCACTTCTCTAACCCTACTTACTTCTTGATGTCAGAACTTCAAGAACTTTGAAAGGTTACCTTCATATCAGCATGCCACTTCTGTTTCAACTGCTTGTCCACAACGAACTAAGCCTGGTTGCAAGCTTTGCACTTTTATAGTCCTCCCTAAGCTGAATAAACCTGAATCAGCAGCCAAATCAAAATTTAGGTTCAATAGAAACACAACATAGAAAAGGAGAGAGGTGTACCAAAAAGTACTAAAAAGATAACAAAGAAGAGATCGTGAATAAACTACAAACACAGACATATACATCATGTGAGATAAGAAGTCCTTGTTAAATATGCCAAAGAGAAATGTTTCCATTTAAAACTTGGAAGTGTGATTTTATAATTCTTTATCAGTTATAAATCACCTCATAATGAAGGGAAAAGGCATTTGTGCTCATAACTTGTAAACAATAAATTTATACATATTTTATAAGGTTTACCATAACACATCAAAGAGAAAATTTGTCCCAAGGAATATTACCTGATGTGCTCTTAAAAATTCAGCACTAATAGTAAGCAACAACATACCTTTGTGCATCTTTCCGAATACTGGGTGTTCCCTCAAACAAAGTGGAGAGGCTTTCAGGAGCAACAATGAAGACATTGGCCATACTGGAGACCAGCATTTTATTAGTACATTGAGATAGAAAATGCTCAAATACAATCTCAAAACCTTGTAAAATTTTTGCAACTTACATGCCCAACAATTCAAATTTCTCATCAACAGATGGAGCATTAAAACTGCGCACAAATTCTCCATATTCAGTTATATCACGTTTCAGGCGCAATCCCCCACTGCAAAAAAGCAAATCAGAGAGATAGAAGAGAAACAGAAAATGTAAAGATGTGAAATGACTTGGTTGTGCAATAGAAGGCACCATATTATTAAGAAGTGACATAAAACAACTAAAACAATGGAATAGAGAACACATTTTTGTTTTCACTGAACACAGATTACTTCTACAGGATAGTCATCAAGGATAAGAAAATTTCCCCAGTCTCTAATATAGATGCACAACACAACAAAAACCCAAAAACAGTAACTGTAGGAACCTAGCAACTGGAAAAAGAAACACAAAAGTCGCTTTAACCAAATTGCGTCTGCTGAGTATGAAACTGAGCAGCTTCTCTTACTGTATGTTATGAGTTATGGCAATTGCTATAGTGTAACACTAATTACTCATTGACTATGTCTTATAAAAGAACTTATATCATTTCTTTAGCTAATAACATACTCTAAATTTTTTCTTATTTTGAAATAAACTCTAGAAACAATTCCATGCATATTTACCTAATAGAAATTAACAAGACACAAATTAGAGCGATTAGCATTACCTGGGATTAAAAGTGAACTTCTGCCAGTGATTAAGCAAGCCTTTATGCAAACGATTTCCCTGGAACAATGAACATCACCATGTTATCACTTCAAACTTTGTACATAGATACTAATTATACTATTGCTTGAACTCTGAAAAATTACATCACCATCACCCACAACTTGAGGGAGAAAAATAATTTACATTAAAGAAATGAAATGCTAACATCACCACATCACATTGTTTTAGGATGGAATTGGCACAAGTGGAAGTGGTTATGATGGATATGAACTGATAGAAGAAATATCTTGATGGGTTAAAAGGCACTCTTTTTCGTAGAACGAATTAAAATCAATCCAATTTAAACATACAAATCATGTTTATTAAACAAATGCATCGTAACTCACTCACGCAAGCATCCATGGCTAGGAAAGTCAAAGAAATAATGTATAATAAATAGGAATCTTCGACAATAAGAAATATCATACCAATTCAGTCAGAAACACTTGTTTGTTAAGACCTTCTAGTGCTGTGAAGGCACCCTCAAGCACACGGGAAAGGTATGCAACAACTCTATAAAAGACAGAAGAGAACATTATTTGGTATCAGGAAACAAGAGGGAAATGAAATGTCTTACTTTGATTACAGTAATATGTGGCAGAAGATACTATCTCATAGCCAAAAAGTTAGATATATATGTGTGTGTGTGTGTGTGTTATGTATGTATGTATGTATGTATGTATGTATGTATGTATTTGAATATGTAGCATTAAAATATATAAGATAAAATAAAGTTCAACCATGCAGTGTCCTGAGCCCCCCTCAGGCATCAGCTTTATGGTTAAGTTTAAGTTTAAGTTCAAGTTTCTAGCAGCACAAACCTTGTGCAAGCATTGGTTGGACGATGATCAGGAGCAATTCCATCATCAGGCGATCGATAATCTGTTGCCTTTTGTTCTGCTGAGAGCAATCGTTCCACCTGCATAGGAGATTTACCATATGAGGTAGAAAAACAGAGAGCATAAAGCAAATATGTAGGATCTAGAGGCTGGAAACACATTTAAAATGTCAATGAACGAGCAGTAATATCTGGGGAGAAGCAATTATAAGCAACTAATAGACCAACTACTTAGATGTGTGATGCTAATAGTCTAATATAGTTGTGCCATGTGTTATGATCCACAAAAACTTTAAAACAGTGGACCTAATAGAGTAAAAAATTAAATGCTGATAACCGACCTCTGCCATCACAGTTTCAATGCATTGTTGAAGCCCTTTATAAGCAGCAGCCTCTGCACTGGACATAGCCGTTGCCATTTCTTCGCATGAAGCAGCGTGTGCACCATCCACAGGTAATAAAAGCCGAGATATAGAATTCGCAAAGTACTGCAGATACAAATTCAGTTCAAATTGGTTTCCCATACTCTGATTAGCTAATTTGACTGCAATTAATGAACATAAATGCAAAACAACATACTTGCTGAACTATTGCCACACTACTACCACAACGCTGTACTGCAACCATGAAAGATCTGAAACTGCTTTCACCAGCAGCAGCAGCAGCTTCTGCCTACACATCAACCAATCAATCTCCATTATGCAACTATTTTCCAAGTAAACTACACATGCATATCATAATAGAGCGCAGACAGTTTAGAATTCATAAATAGGGTGTGATTAGGTAGTTACAGCAGAAGCAGCTGCAGCCGCCACTCTTCTACTAAGGTTTGTGCCCAGCACAAACCTTTCCCTCAAAGCTGCAGCTTCGGTGAGGCTGTCTCTAGCCCGTTCAAGCCCCTCTGTTATATACTGGCTGACCTGAAAAACAAATATCTAAGTACCTATTACAAAATTCTGGAAAATCAATGCACTTTGTTTACCAACTTACTTGGTCCAGCAGGCAAGTAAACACTGCTTTCACATTGGCTGCAAGGGTGGCTGGCTATAAAAGGCACGTGAAAATCAATTAGTAATAATACACATAATATTTGAAAAATTCAGAATACAGAAATATCCATTCTTACTATGTCACTGAACCATAAATTTACAGCACATTCTATTTTTTAAAATTTCCATCTTGATTATTACTAGACCCAAAGTTATCAAGCCCCAGCCTGTTTTAGTAAAAATTCTATTTTTTAAAATTTCCATCTTGATTATTACTAGACCCAAAGTTATCAAGCCCCAGCCTGTTTTAGTAAAATTCATGACTAGTTCGCTTACTGAAAATACATTCTATTTTTTTTAAATTTCCATCTCAATTATTACTAGACCCAAAGTTATCAAGCCCCAGCCTTTTCTAGTAAAAATCATGACTAGTTCTATGCTTACTGTTTATTTTCATTCATTTCTATTGCTTTTGTCGTATCCCAATGCATCTGCTACTTTATAAAGCACATCTCAAATACACACTTGTAGTCATCTCATGATCCTCTAATATAGTTGAAGTACAGGAAAAATAGGATGTTTCAGTCTTGACTTGCAATTATGTTGTTTAGTAGTTATATGCATCCTATGTTCCAGGACATATTCTAGATAGCCTATAGAGGAAATCTGAATTTTCCATCATGAAAACCAAATTTGGCAGACATCTTGTATAGGATCATAAGTTATAAAATTGTAATATGAATTGCAGGAGCATATATATTACCTCAGATGAAAACAAAGTGCATCTGGATATTGCTTCTTCATTCCAGCGCACAAACTCCGTCACAACTGTAACTGATATCTGCTGGTGTGAAGAAGCTATTGAAGCTCCTTTAGAACGCCCAATGGACCCTGTTGATTCTGAGAGCTGCTGGCTTTCAGCACGCAATTCTTCCATCTGTAAGGATTACTCTAGTTATTGCCATGTAAGCAAATGACTAGTGATTCTAATCAAAGAATGATGCAACTGATGCAAACCTTTGCTTGATACAATTGTCTTAGAGAAGCTTGCTCATGTTCGGGATATTCTTCCTTGTGAGCAGTAAAAAGGCATTCTGTGACGCCTGAAACAACAAAGTTATCCATCAGTCAGGATTTCATCAATACCTGAAAAACTTAAATAGGGCCTGTAAGGTAAAAGTTAAGAAAATATTCATGAGGGAGTAAGAATCTTGATAACTAATTTATTACCCTCAATATCCAAATCACCACATCCCACAGCTCGTAGATCTCTAGCAAGATCCTGCGTCTTCTCATATGCCACAGCTAACATTCTAAGATACTGAAACCTCAAGCCAAATAAAGAAAAATTAAAAATCTGATTATCGTTTTAAACTTTCATTTACATAATTAATGCAGCCCAGTAATTCTACTCACTAACAGAAGTCCGCCTTCTTCCATAGAAGGTAGGTTCACAAGAGATGGCTTCACTAATAACTTGTCCAGAATGGCTGTAACTCGCTGCTCCAAAACTCGCTACATGTGGCATTGAGAAAAAACAGATGTTATTAATAATTTACCAACACAATTTGGTATGTGATATCTGAATTTGAATGTAATAACAGAACCCAAGGAAAAGGAAAAAAAGCAGAGCATTAAACAAATGAAGGTCAATTTCTGCAGGGTACCTGAACAAGTATACACATGACATAATTAGGCGAAGGGAATACAGCTGTAATTGTAGCTGCTTCTTTCCGCACAGTATCTGCAATGGAAACAACAATGATATAGGAAATCTGAAAAAATTCGATCCCAGGATCAGATCAATGATTATCCACCAAACCTGTAATTTCTTTGTACAAGGAAGAAAGCCCACGGGCAACGTTGCTGGGACTAGCTTGAGAAGCCTGATCACCTAGAACTAATCTGACATCTGCATTCATGACTTCCACATCAATGAACATAGGGCGTGTTGCCACATAATGTTGCATAGCACTAGTACCCCTGTTAAACTGTATTGCAATATGATATTGACCAATTAGAAAGGAATAAGATTCAACTGATACCAGGGAAACTAGACAGAAGGCTGATAGTGAAAAAAAGAAAAGGTTTTGGGTTGTTTAACAAGCATACAAATACAGAGTAGAAAGGTAAGGACTTGAAAATAGCCACAGAAAGAGAGAGGGATCACTGTACAAACTCAAAACCAAGTGCAAAAGTTCCATAGTTTTTGAAGACTATTAATTACAGCAAATCCCATACCTATTAATCAGAGAACACCCTTTAAATTATTCCAAGTGGAGAAATAATTGATTCTCTCACTCATGCTTACCAAGAAAAAGAAGAAACAGAAACAGCAAGAGACCAAAATTAGGGAAGGGAAGAGCTTGACCAATGAGGTCATTAGAAAAAGAATCACCTGAGATAAAATTTTAGCACATTCAGCCATGGTAGACAACTCTCTTCTCTGTGATGCTGCATCAAATCGAGCTAACAATCTGTTCTCCAGTTCTACACAAAGGGTAAGATAACACAAAACTTAGTGATTGAATAATTGAAGGATAGGAAAACCTTATCAAACAGAAAGCGGACTCCGTCAAAATCTTTTCCTCCCCATTCCTTTGCTTCAATTACAGAAATTCTCGGATAAAAATGAATGGCAAAGACAAGTAACATAGGGAGCAAAAGAAAATTGGAAAAGAATTTAGTAGAAATAAACCCATAAGCAATTGATAAGTGATCATTATGTCACAATAAAATGTTTCACATGAATATTAATATACTTTGTGAGAATACAATGTTTCATATATGAGGATGGTGTGCATTTGCATTGCCCACAATTAGCCACAAATGACTCATTTTTCTATGATCGTGCATCAAATGAACCCTCCCAAAAGAACATTAAAACTAAAAAGAGTATAGTACAGAAGTAGATGTACCACTGCAGTAACCACACAAAGAGTATAGTACAGAAGTAGATGTACCACTGCAGTAACCACACCCAAACCCCCACACCCCACCCCCGCCCCCCCCCCCCCCCTCTTCCCTTCCCTTCCCTTTTTTATAAAAAACATACCATTGCAGTAATCTTGAAGATTAGCGACAGCAACTTCTAACCCTCTGCTGGCAGTTGCATTTCCAATATCTGATATGCCTTGTCTTCCAATATCTTCCTCGGCAAAAGATCCTAAAATCAACAGAGTAGCAAAAGTATTAATTTTTCATTAGGCTGAAAGATGCATGAATACATAACACAAAATATTAACCCAGACACAAGACCAAGTTCTTTGCTATTAAAAGGTATCATAACTTTCATCTCTGTTATTGGGCATCAACCAATCTTACTGTACAAAGTCATCTCTCACTCTCTCCAGCCTAGAGAAAAACTATTTTTACCATTATAAAATAGCATAACTTTCCTTTCTTATTGGGTATCAACCAATATTCCCACAAACAAATGGTTACTTCTCTCTCCCTCTCTCTCTCTCTCCAATATTACCACAAACAAAATCAGTCATCACTCTCGTTCTCTTAATCGACTTCTGGGATGCACATTTGAGTTTATAAAAGAAGATAAATTGTTAAACAAGAATGAGAGAAACATGTTTTGGAACAATTGTTTCTTTCACCGATTTTATAAGCAGACCACTAGAGGTGTGGACTGGATAGACAAAGACAGTCAAATCAGCATATATGGTTAATATGATGTCATGGACAAAGATGCTAACTTATAAAAGGAACAAAGATGTCTCACTCACTATTCTAGCAGGAAAGAAAAAAAACAGGGATCATGAAAAAAGAGCCACAAGTTTAGAGTGTACATCATGCCCAGAAAAAACAGACATGAATTTATCTTGTGAAATATAGCGCCAACTTACGCAATTTCTCTGCAATTGATGCAGCCTCGGCAACACGACTGTCATCAGAAAATAATGGTGAAAGTTCCATTAGGTCTCCTGGGCTGCTATTAAACTCCATCAAGTACTGCAGGGTTTCGATTGACAGAATGTTAAAGCAATTAAAAAAAAAAAAAAAGGAATGCATACCTTTTACTTTCTTTGATAAGCAAAAGTTATTATTACAAAAAACTAAAGGGGAAAAAATACAGGATTTAATACAAGCACCTCTACTTAATGGCTTCTACAAGGAAAGAATCTCAAAATCAGTAAAAGAAGAGGAAACAGACTAAAAAAGTTACAAAAAGATCCTTCCAAAGAGGACTACAGACTTGCTAAGAAATCTGATTTAATTTCTTACTAAATTTAAAGCTCGATGGTACCTTAATGAGGTCAATTGTTTGACTAGCAGTTACGCGCTGAGCATCTGCACTCTGACAATAAATATCCATCCAAATAAAAACATAAATTCAAATAAACTAATGATATAGTTATACAAATACAACAAGACTAGCATGAGCAGGATCACAAGCATAGAGTAATCCATAAAACAAACCTACCTGTAAATGATCTCCTATTTTAGCAGCAGTCTGTCCAACACTTGATATACGTGAATCTAACCTTGCAAAGCTATCAAACAAGCCATCTACACCTTTTTCTAGCTGAAAAACAAGATACATGGTAACTGTAGTAAAAACTATGGCTCAGATGTAACTCAATGTCAGTTTCAGAAACATCAAATTTCATAACTCAATGTACTTTAGCAATTACAGTTTCTAAAAATGCCAAACGGCAGAAGAAGAAACAACACAAACATGTATTCAGTTTGAACAATAGCATCCCAAGAGGTAAGCATCCACTCTGGTAAATGTTTTCTTAGGGCTGTCTTGGATGTACAATAAAATTTTGTTAGTTATAGTACATTTCAATTGGAAAATGCAAAAAAGGTTCCTTTTTATAGAATATGCGACCAAGGAATGATTACTTGAATAAAAGAAGTAAGCTCAGGACTTTATATGTTTTTTAATTTTTAAAAATTTGATAACGCCAGCTTCTTTGGTATGTTTATCAGTGTATTCCTGAAATGATTCGAAGGAAACAAACCTCAGCAAGTGTCTTGCGGTGCTTAGAATCTTGGATGGAAAGCTCTTTCTTGAGATTGTAGAGTCTTCCATCAATCTGAAACCACAACTCAAGAGGGAGAAGAAATTAACTCAGAACAAAATCTCAATTTGTAGTCCCATTACCTAAAAACCCAAAAAGTCATACCTGTTTTCGAAGGTCAGTCAACTCCCCACAAGAATCCTTGAACAGAGATAAGAGAGCATCCACTTCTGGAAAAAGTGGAGCAGGAGCAGATAGTCCTTGCGAAAACTTCAATGCATCAGATGGGGCCCGTTTATGCCCATTTGGCAAAACATCATTTCCACTAAGGTTACCATGCCCATCCACTGAATCAGCTTCTTCTTCTTGAAAAGATGGCAGGAGCTCGTTTACCAAGTTTCCAAATAGTGCATCAAAAGAAAAATCACCCTGCGAAATGAATTTGCAACTTGAAGTTAATTTAAAGTACAGATGCCATCAAAACTTAGATAATAGTTAAGACCTAAAAGTAAAACAGATCAACAATGTCCATCAACATATTACCTTAAAGTCGTCTATGTCGAGAATAAGTGGTGATGATGATTTCGGAATTCCATCATTCCTGGTTCCATCTCTACTCTCTTTCATCTGGTTCACGTCAGTAATAATCACAACCATATAACAATAGATCATCAGCATTCAACAACCATCTCAAAATTTTACCTCGTACACACAACTTTTCAATATATTAAGTGGAGGGGGGGAAAAAAAAAAAAAAAAAAAGCCTAGGCAAAGCTTAATTAATGCAATACATACAATAACGACTGCTGATAGCTTGCATGAATAAGCAAACAGATGTCTTCACTCTAATAATAAGTCAAACACAACTAAAGAACACGATGTAATTTTATTCCTCATAAGTCAGAAAGAAAAGAATTTTAAATGAAAATCTAACCCTAAATTTATAGCTCAACTTACACAAATTCACTTAATTAATATCCAACTGTGATCAACAACTGTAAACCTGATTTGATCAAACAGTTCAGTGAGAATCGAAACGTTTCAACAAATCATCACGTCTATAGTTTGAAAATTACAAGAATTTTACCCCTCCGTGTGACTAATTCGACAACAGTTCCTATAGAACAACATAAATCTGGGAATACAATCGAAAAGAAAATTCATCTTATAAAGAATTGTGTAAGCGGGAAAGGAGAAATGGACCTCTTCGTCAAGTGATGAGCGAGCGAGAGAGAGACACGCAGAGACGATACAGAGATTGCTTGCGCTTTCTTGTAAGCAAGCTTTGGTTGGGTAGATCGAGCCAGGTGATGGAGAAACGAACAAAAACTACGATGAAATTGTTTCTTTTCAAGAATGACGGTTTTGACCTTGTAGTGCCACAGGAAAATAATATTTATATTAGTTGAAGTGGAAAGCCAGAACAGAAATTCCAATAAAGAAAAAAATAATAATTGGAATTTTATTTAAGATTACTTAAAAGGTGAAAATTAATATAATATAACGTTATTTAAATCTATTAAAATAATAAAAATTAATTTCACTTTAACAATCTCAAAAAGCTTTATAATAAAATCCTCTTCAATAACTATTGCTTTTTATTTTTATAAGAATCTTATTAGAATCATTCATTGAACTTCATACATAATAAATACATGACTGATTTTATATTTGTTGAAAGCTTTGTTCAATACTGTTGATACGTGATTTTGACACCAATGACTTGCACGTATAAAGTATTAAGCTGATCTTAGAAATTATATATGAATGATTATGAAAGTTGATTATGGTGTAGAGATTATATATGTTTGCAGAAACATAAATAATGGATTAACAAAAGAGATTTTTATAGTGGTTCGGATGTTTAAAGCGAATCTCACATTCACTGTTATTTTATTATTCTCTGACTATTTTTCTAATATTGCTTGCAAGGGGTACAAAAATTGAGAAATACTTTGTTTACAAATAAATAATGAAGCTCATGCTTGTACCCAACTCTCATATGCCTAGCTTCCTCTTTCGTGAAGAGAGGTGCCCATTTATACCTTTGAGGTCAATGTAATAAGCGTTTTTGCAAGTTGTCTTGATACATGAAAACCACTTCTTAATCCTTATCTTAAAATAGGATAGGATTGATATGAAATATCTTTTTGAGACAGTTTGGGTTTTGATAGCTAATACCACTTTATCTTTGAGTGTTTGCTAAGCTCTAATTGGTGGTGATGACATCAGTATGTATTTGGAGTGCGTAATTGCACTTCAAAAACTCATGTCTTAGATCTGAATGGTTGTCATACTATGCCTGGCGTGATTTGGTGTTGAGAGCTAGAACTACAATCTGAGCGCTTGGAGTAATCCAAAGCTAAGTGCGATCTAATAATTGACATAAAATGTCTAGTAGATGAATTCCTGTAGAGAACTATGGTAGTGTATGCCCTAAGAACCAATCATGTTGTCGGTTTCGGGGTATTATATCTTGTAAATACTCTTTTGAGAATAGAAGAAAGAGTTATGATTTCACATGTAGTTTACTGTTTCATTTATACTATTTATAATGCATGTGAAATGTCCAGATGATATGAATCTTTAGAAGATCAAATCATCGAAGTATTCCCTACATAAGTAATGTTAATTGGGCAATAACATTGTATAGTAGGCATGTTAAATGCCTTCATTGAATATCATGTGATAGTATTACTGTGAGTAATTGTAAGAGGTATATCAGTAGGGCATTAGCATGGATAAAAGGTTGGTGAACTATTTATCGAATATGACCGATTATGATAAATCACATAGACATTTAGAATGTTATCAATGATACATCGTAAGATCGTACTAGTGTACCACTAATCCTTAGACTTGAGACATCACGATTGGACTCGACATAGGATGCATATGATTCTTAAGATGTATGTACACGAGACTAGTCATGTTTTGTGTAAGAAGTCGGTGTGATCATATGTTATTCATGTGCGATGACAAGTGATGGTCAAGATGAGATCTGTTGACTCGAAATAGTTTGGTCTTGAATTCTCAAACGAATGTCAATAAACATTGGAAAAAGAAAATCTCTGGCCAGAGTACAAAATATTCATATGAAAATGAGTTTTATGATGACATGTTCCATTGTATTGATTGATAATTCAGATAAAGATTAAGTTAAGGGTTTTGACACACCATTAATCGAGATTAGACGACGAAGGGATTTTACTACATAAAACGTACGATTAGGAAAAAATGTTCATTGGAATTTAACTTCTTTGTAGCTTAGGGGTTATGGAACATTGCTAGATGTCTACCATAATCAGTGGGAGTTTCGATCATAAATAGTTATGATGAAACATATCGAATTGTGATATTGGGCCCATGACTAGGTTACAGTGAACCTAAGTGGTCACACCTAAAAACCAAGTATGAGAAAAGAGAGTAATACATATCGTTAAAGGTTAACGATGTTCAGATGTAAACTTGTGCATCCGAATTTATGTATTGGTGATAAATGATTACTCATGGGAAGTTAGCACTTACCAAGGGTAATAATGTAATTTGGTAATTATTATATTAGATTCAATAATAGACTAAAATATATTATTAAATTGGATTCAAGAATGTGTTAAATATTAAACGGGATTATTTTATGTGACATAAAATTATAAATTTGTTTAAATCAATGATTTAATATTAAAGAGTTAATATTAAATTGAAATTATTTAAAGGACTTGAAAATAATATTGAATTTGTATTAAGCGCTAATATATGATTCATATTAATTTAAGAACTTAAGAAGAATTTCAAATTATAGTAAAATGGTCATTGTATATAAATAAGTGATATTCTCAAATTTAATCTAATTTTTCATTTTGATTGAAAATCTCTCTCTTGATCTTTCATGGTCGGCTCTCTTTTCTTAATCTTGGAGTGGACTTTATTTTGAGGATTTTTATCAAATTTGTTGAAAATCTTGAACTCCTTTTCAAGTTACAAAAGTTATAAAACATAAAAGGTAACAATTTCACCATTTTTAGTTTCAATAACATGTCATATGACCTTATACCATGTTTTACACCAATTTTACCCTTTCTAAGCATGAAATCTTACAAACTGAGCATCAGATGCCCAAACTTGCGACTCAAAGGTCCTAAATAGACAAGCCAACTTAAATAGCTATAACTTTTTATCCAGGAGGAGTTTTGGAGCCCGTAAGATATTCATGGAAAGCTCGTTCTGAGCTCTACATCATGGCAATAGGTAAACTCGGTTGAGACCATTTTCAGGGCCAAAATCCAATATTTCGATGCCATTTTGAGTTTTCTACATGTTTTTTCTAATGCTAACAGGTGGTCGCGATCTAAGAACCGAGAACTAATCGCGATATGAGCGTTGAGAACACGATCTGAGAGTTGAGAACACGATCTGAGGCTGCTCGCAATCTCAGAGCTAAGAGTTGATTGCGATTTGAGCAATCTGAAATCTTAAAGAGCTTAATATGTGCACGCAATCTAAGCGATTTGAAGCGCAATCTGAAAGATCTGATGCGTGCGATCTTAGCGAATGAGCGAGCTTATGAGCTCGATCAGAAAGCATAAGGAGCTCAATATGAAGCGCAAGGAGCTTTGATCTAAGAACTCGATAGTTATTTCCACCATGAGAGCTTAAAAGCTCTTTGTGATCTGAGAGCACAAAGAGTTCAATTAGAAAGCGTATAGCACAAAGAGTTTGATTAGAAAGCATGAAGCTTCATCTGAGAATACAATGAATTCGATCAGAAAGCCCAAAGCTTGATTTGAGAACATGAGGAGTTCAATCCAAAAGCGCGAAACTTGATCTGAGAACTCAAGGAGTTCGATTAGAAAGCGCGAAACTTGATTTGAGAACTCAAGAAGTTCGATTAGAAAGCGCAAAGCTTGATCTGAGAACTCAAGGAGTTCGATCAGAAAGTGCGAAGCTTGATTTGAGAACTCGAGATCAACGATCTAGGTTGCTCGGAAGCATGATTTAGGTGCTTGGAAGCATAGTCTGGCCGCTCGGAAGTACGGTCTAAACGATTTGAACTTATGATCTCAACGATCTTAAACGTATGATCTAGATGCTTGGAAGCACGATCTGGTTGCTTGGGGGCGCGATCTGATATGAGAGATTTTAGCTATCTGGCCACGTGATCTGAGAGCTCTGATGCGCGCGATTTGATCTACCCACTCAATCTGAGAGCTCTGATGTGCGCGACCTGACCACGTGATCTGAGAGATATGATGTGGAACATGCTTTAGTATTTTTACGATAACTTGAGCTGTAAACCTCATATTTTGATGATTAATGGACCATCGAAAAGCTGACTCAAAGGGCTACAACTCTTGCGTTTTTGCTTTGCCAAATTTAGACTTTATCATGCTTAGATTTTCACATTTGATAATGTGAAGATTTTGAGGCTTGTTGGAAAAACATGGAGAGCTGATGCGAATCATGTCCTTTAGCGTTAAGCTGTTGATGCGTGATTTTGACACCAATGACTCGCACTTGCAAATTGCTAAGCTAGTCTTAGAAATTACACATGAATGATTATGAGAGTTGATTATGGTGTAGAGATTATATATGTTTGCATAAACATAAATAATAGATTGACAAAAGAGATTTTTATAGTGGTTCAAATGCTTAAAGCGAATTCTACATCCACTGTTATTTTATTATTCTCTGACTATTTTTCTAATATTGTCTGTAAGGGATACAAAAATGGAAAAATGCTTTGTTTACAGAGAAATAATTGGGTGTGTTTGGTTTATTATTTTGGATAGGATTTTGGGAATAATATTGGGTAGTTGAATATGGGAGTATTACGAGGTAAACTTTAAAAATTTCTAAAAAACCACATAGGTTTGCTAATTTAACTAAACACCCCAATATATAAAATTTTTGTAAAATGAAAAAAACACCCCTACCATTGCCAGAATTTGGCTGAAAAATTGCGTTACGGCACAGACCGATCGGATCTGTGTCGTAACGCGTCGATATGGCCTTTTCTGTCCAGATCCACTACGGATCTGGCCGAAAAAGGCCAGATTGAAGGCCAAATGTGGCCGTCGACATCCGCAAACTGTCGTTGTCGGTCAACGACGACCATTTCTTTGGCCGTCGCTGATGGCCAGATCGGTGAATTACTGGCCTTTTCCGGTCATGGTGTAGGCCGTTGTAACAGATTCCAGCTACCACCGATGGTGGTTGCCAGAATCTAGCAAGTATGGGTTTAGGGGGTGTTTTTGTTATTTTTTAAACTTTTTTTCTGGGGGTATTTAATGAAATTAATAAATTTAAGGGGTCTAAAAATAATTAAAAAAATACAATAATATTTCTCAAATAATGTGCCAAACAATATTTGGAAAATAGGA